TCCCCTCCCTCTCTCTCTATTTCTTTCTCTCTCTCACACTCATAACAATAAATGGAACAACTCTCTCTCTCTCTCTTTGTGTTAGCTCTTAGTCTCACTGATTTGGCTACCTTAGGGCTGTGTTCCCCGCGCCCACGCGGTAGACAATTTTTCGTGTTGGGAGAAGGGGTCGGAGGAACTCGTGGTTTAGGGCTGGGCGCACTGGACCGAAATGGCTGCCAACGCCAGGCAAGGAAAAGGAAAATGTGCCTGCACTGGGGCAAAAATCCTTTATTTACATTACGGGAAAAACAAAGCAACAAAGCTCCGAGGTACTGGTCGCAACAGGCTTGGGGTACCCATCTGGACTGGCCAAGGGGTTCTTTCTCTCGTTTTGTTTGTGGGGGATTCGAACGTACGTCCATCTATCAGCAGTTCGCGGAGTGGTACACGGGTGTACCACTCCGCCACGTGAGTTCCTCAGTCGCGCGCTTCCGGATTTGCCGAGCGGGCTTCCATTTGCAGATCAGTAGCCACCAGTATTTGGGGCATCTGTCTGCGTCTATAATGCGGCCATGTATCCAGCGATCTCCTCCCGTCAGAATTGACGCATGCTCGCGATCGGACGGTGGTTGTTGATGTGTCTATTTATCCGACAGCAACAATAGCCGTGTCGGACTTTGGTTGAGCTATCTGACGCGAAATAAAGGCCAAACACAAGAACGTTCACTCCGCACTGAGTAGGGAGGGTATGGGGGCTTGCTGGCTTTCCAACCTTCAAACGCCGCCGTGATGATGCCGAGTGGCATCCCGGCAACTGCGGTCAGGAAACAGAATAGGAGGAGAAAGGGAGCATCGTTCTGTTCTTTTCATTACCCTTCTTTTTTTTTCTTTTTTTTTTCTTTTTTTTTTTTGGATCCTTCTTTTTCTCGTTCTCTTCTTCCTTTTTTTTTTTTTTTTTTTTTTGAAACCCCTTTTCTGAAGAAAGAGCTCTCAATCCTGTCAATCAATGTCATATCTGGATCTGGTTGTGCTACACTACAATGGGTTTATCCTCATCTAAGAAACAGGGATGTTGTTGTTCTGATACCACAACTGCGGAGAACTGTCAACACCATACAACACCTACTTCAACACTCCTCCCAAGTTTCACTGAAGGCGCCCCTCGAGCTACCCCTCGGTCAGAGTCTTCTTCTTTTCTGGCGGTCGATCTTCTGAAGGTCGTGATCGACCGTCAGACATGAAGAACCCGCGCAAATGGGACGTCATTTCTGATCGCGGTGCCTGCTCCAACGACTCCATGGTCTCTCACTGCTGCCCATCTGTCTTCACACCTGCTGGGAGAATACAGAGGAAGAGAGAGAAGACAGAGACGAGAGAGAAGGGAGAGAAGAGAGAACCTTTGATTGCGGTAGCAGGTGCTGCATCTTCATCGTGGCTCGCTGCGCTCTATCTTTCTTCACACCCATTCGAGAGAAAGCACCGGAGATAGAAGAGAGAGTAGAGAGAGTAGAGAGAGAGGAGAGGGAGAGAGAGAGAAGAGAGAGAAGAGAGAGAAGAGAGAGAGAGAGAAACAGACTCGAGGTGAGAGTTCAAGGTCTCCAAGGTGCACCTACGACGCCATACCCGCTGTGGTCCCCACCTATCAGCCATCAATTGCCAATGCATTCCAGCTGGAACTGCCTTCTTCCCCTGAGCACAACGCCCCATCTATCATGAACGTATACATACCCTATTTCGGTCCAAATACGGCCACAATACTTGGGCATTGCGTCCGGGGCACGAAGGTAGCACGGGGGGGCTCCTTTCTTGTTCGAGCTGGATTCTGTGTACTAAAGGCCCATAAAAGATGGTTCTTACCGAGGAGAATACTGCGAAGCAAGCCCGACTCCCAATTCCTCCACAATGGCCGGCGCCCTCTCCTTTCTTGTTGTCGCCTTCAATACCGATCCCGATCCCGATCCCGTTGGATCCCTTGATGTGATGATCATAATGATTACCCCACAAAAGCCGCGCCGACATTTGGGGAGATGGTGGTGGAACGATAACCAGCCCCCCATGTGGCTGGACGGTACACACGAGCAACTGTTTGGGAACAGATCATGAGTTCGAATCTTGTAGGAACCGGAGGGATACAAAACGTTTGCAACTAACCCCTCTAATTAAAAACGGGGGGAATGTGATGGGGGAGTGACGCACAACCGTGGTGTATGGGGGACGGGCTCCCGACTTCGTTCCCGTGTCTCAGTGATAAGGATAAGTGTGCGGCCTTGTGGCCCCTTAAACCCCGTCCCGTGGGGTTGAGGGTGCGCCCCTTGCGCCCCCTTAAGCCCTGTGTCGTGTGGTGGTGTGGTGGGGAAGGGAGGGGGGGGATGAATGTGAGCCCGTCCGCCACCTTAAACCCCGTGCCTTGGTGGGGTTAAGGGTGGGGTTAAGGGTGCGCTCTTGCGCCACCTTAAAGCCTTGGTGGGGTTAAGGGTGGGGTTAAGGGTGCGCTCTTGCGCCACCTTAAACCCCGTGAAGCGTGGTGAGGGTGCGCGCCTGCGCCGCCTTAAACCCCTTCCCTAGGGTTTAAGGGTGCGTATTGAGCCCTCCCCTTAAGCCCTGTGTCTTTGGGGGGGGGGGGGGCGAGGGTGAGCCCCTGAGCCACCTTAAAACCCCCTGCCGTGGGGTTAAGGGTGCGCTCTTGCGCCCGTTAAGCCCCGTGAAGCGGGGATACGGGGTTGCACCTTCATTTCGATTAACCCCATTAAAGCGGTGATAAGGGGGTGCATCAACTCCTGTGAATCGGGGATAAGAGGGTGCACCCCTGACCCCCTCCATCCCGTAGTCGGGCTAATGTTGGGGGGTAAGGTCTGGCACGCAGGCCGGCCCCCGCTCGCGCTTTCCGTGCAGTTTCGGCCCAATGATGAGCCTGCTGACTTCGCCAGAGGGACACGTGGCACAGTCTGATCGGTATCCTAATTTCCGTATTTGAACAGATTGGTCGAACGGAGGCTATCTCGGAGAGATCCGACGTGGGAGCTCTGCCGAGGCACTGGCTCGCTCAAATAATGGGCGTCGCTCCACTACTCTCGACATGCAGAAAAGAGAAGAATCATGACGGTGCATCTTTCCATATTCTAGCGGAAGATTCACTCTCGTTTTGCACATTTCGAGAGTAGTGGAGCGAGGCCCAATGAGGGGTCACTCCTCGTGAAGACGCTGCGACCGGGATGGACGCCAATCAAATCATAAGGTGAGATCATGAAAAGCGATACAGGAGGATCTGATGGCAAATCACATGCCTTTCCAACTCGAGTCTCGGAACGTTCAGCTTGCAAGCAAAAGGGATTGGGGGGAGGCGAGGAGAGGGGGGAGGGGGGGGGGGGGGGGGGGGGGGATTCTTCTTTCCGCGACGCTTCCCTCAATAGTGGATGAGGCCTCCCTTGGAGCCAAGGTATTACCTTGGCAATCGATTCCAGTGCTGTAGTCTGCCAGCAGGTCCGCAGTGGCTGAGGCCCCAGGGGGGTTGAAGAGACCCCGAGAAAACGCCGTGGTAGGCTGCAAAAGGAGTTTCGGACGACCAAGGGGCACGGAGACACGCGCGCGCGCACACACACACACACACACACACACACACAGACAGAGAGAGAGAGAGAGAGAGAGAGAGAGAGAGAGAGAGAGAGAGAGAGAGAGAGAGAGAGAGAGAGAGAGAGAGGTGGGGATTGGAGAAGGGAAGAAAGGTGAAAAAGAGAGACAGAATGGGGTCAATGACGATTCATCAGCGGTTGTTCTGGTGGAGAGCCTGGTTTGGAATGAGAGCTGGGAGTGCGGCTTTATATGCTGGATTGATAACATTCATTCCGCATGTTGGTCAGTCTTTTCCTCACTTGTTCTTTGCGTCCGTTAACTCAATCTCAACCGTCGATACGACGTTAGGTCGTGTGTTGTATAACTCTTCCACTGGGTTGTTCGGCTGTTTGTTCTCTGCTTGTCTGGCTACCACTGCCCGGAAGGCTTTCGGCACAGGCCAGGTGGCAATGATCTGCTGCATGGTGGTGTCCGGTTTTGTCTTCACCTATGTAGACATCCACGTGTCTATAAAAAGGCTTTCTGTTTCTCTGAGTACTATCCTCTACTTAACCTTTGCAATGACCCCCAACACTACCAACTTCTTCGCTTTCCGTCTTGTATCGACCACCCTCGTGGGGGCCATTTGTGCCCTCTTGGCTGTGCTTATCCCTTGGCCTCTTCGCGCTCTCGAAGAGGTCCAAGAGAGAGCTGCCATCATCAGTCGCTGCACATCTGCCATGTTCATCACTCTCCTCGACGCCTTTCAGGCTGACGATCCCCGTGGCATCGTCTTTGCTCGCAGCCACGTTGAGATGTTGATTAAGATGATTCAGGAGGATCTTGCCCCTCTCAAGGAGAGGCAGCTAGATCTCGCCTGGGAACTAGGCCAGTTAGGTATCCTTTCCACGCTTGAGAAGTTCGTGATTGTTCTCGAAGCAGCCATTAAACACTGCCAAGGGATGGACATGGCTCTGGTCTCTGGGAGCATGGTAGATTGCCCCAGGGCGTTCCGCGAGGTGCTGCAGGAGCCGTTGATTGTCCTGGGCCAATGCGGGGGCTTGGCGCTGAACTTCGCAGTGGAATGTCTGCAGAAGAAGAAGTCCAATGCCCAGCTGATGGCCAAGTCGCTAAGAATACTGCAAGATGGAAGGCTGGCTCTGGAGAATTTCAGCAGCTCGCTGAAACAAGCAAGGGAGCTGAGCTACGAGGACCCCTCGAAGATGGATTTGTACGGCTGTAACGATGGCAATCAAAGCAGTCGAGCATACGTAGGGGTGGAGGAAAGGAGGAGAATAATTGAGGAGTCTATCGAACTGCAACTGCATAATAGGGGGGGGACGAGTATGAGAGAAATGAGAGTGGTAGGAGGAGGAGGGGATGACGGAGGAGGAGGGATGCATTCGGGCACACCAGCAACGAAGAGCATGATGGATGCACATTTCTTCTTGTTCAATGTGCAACTGTTCATTTCCGAAGTACTGAAGCTGCTCGAATTCGACACCCAAAGTCGATCCAACAGCCTGATCGGGCTAATCCTCAGAAGCCAAGGTCCGGCTTGTCCATCAGGGATGATCCTCCTTGCTGATGCCGGAGATAGAGTACGAGAGCGTGACCGATCAGCTTCCCGTATTCATCAGCAACCCCTACATGAGCAGATAGAGGAACGACAAAGGGCACAGCAGCAGCTAGAAAAGCAAGTCCCTGGCGAAAGAGGAGGGGGAGGAGGGGGAGGAGGGGGAGGAGGGGGAGGTGGAGGGGGAGGTGGAGGGCGAGAAGAGGAGAAGAAAAGGCCAGTCGTTCCTCCCATCGATCTCTCCTTTAAGACTCGGTTGTCATTACAAAGCATGAGAACGCAGCTCCCCCCAACTCCTCCTCGTCGTCATTCCATTCGCCCGCAGCAATTAAGCCGGCAGCCTAGCCTGCGTGCCTCGGTCGCTGAGCGCTCAGCGGCAGCAATCCCACCAGCCGGACGAACAGGAGTAGGAGTGGCGCCAGTCATAGGAGCAGGAGGAGAAGGAGCTGTCCCTGTCCTCGTGGACGTTACGGAAGAAGGAGCAGGAAGAGGAGGAGGGAGAGGAGGAGTGGCAGGTGGAGGGGGGCCAGCATCAACGTCATCATCATCATCGTCATCATCATCATCATCATCATCATCATCATCATCAGCAGCAGCAGCAGCAGCAGCATCAGCGTCAGCATCAGCATCAGCATCAGCATCAGCATCAGCATCAGCATCAGCATCAGCATCAGCATCAGGAGCAGGAGGAGGAGGAGGAGGAGGAGGAGAGGTTCCCGTTATTATGGATGTAGGGGAACGAAGAGAAGGAGAGAGAGGAAGTCTTAGAGGAGGAGAGGGGTTGCAGGTCGTCGGGGGCACATCAGTATTGGAAAAGGAGACTAGCAGTTTGATCACACAAAGGTTTTCGTACACCAAGGCCTGTCCTCACTGTCGAGATACGGACGCAGACAAGGACCAGTCCTCCCCACCGTCGGAACTGGTCAGCAAGGCTGCTCAGTTGATTCTTGCCCACCCGTCCGATCGTCGCAGCTGGCACGCAGCTTGGGTTGCCACAAAGGCTGTTCTAGTAGCGGGGGTATCCAGCCTACGGCCGGAGTCAATCAGCGTCCCTAGAGCCAAGACTGCGTGCAAGATTTGCCTGGCTATACTTCTTGCGACGGTCGTGGGGGCACGGGTCACCCGGTCTAACTTCTGGGCCCCCATGACGGTCAGCATCATGATCTCCAATGGGCAGGGGGGGTCTTTCAGAGTGTCTATCTTGCAATTGCAGGGCACTGTTGTGGGGGCAATCTTTGGGTACCTGGTCATCGTCTTTTCTAAAGGGCACCCGGTATTTGTCCTCATGGCCATTATCGTCTGGGTGGCTTGTTGTGCGTTTGTGAGGGACAGTCAGGCCTTCGGGTATCCTGCGAAAGTTGGGGGTTCAACGGCCGCCATTGTGGTTCTGGGCTACAAGGCCTCCAAGCTGTCCATACAGGAATACGCTATGGAGAGGATAACTCAAACGTGTATTGGGATCTGTTGCTATTTCGCAGTGGAGTCTGCTCTCTGGCCCACGAGAGCGTCGAAACTGGCACGTGTAGCCCTGGTAAACACGCTGGCTGAATGCCAGACTACGTTCTCTGCAATCTTGGCCTTCTATGTGGCACAGGAGGAGTGCGGGAGGTGCAAGACGAGGGCCACGGAAGAAGTGAAGGCTATGGAGACGAAGATACAGGAGAATGTACTTGAACAGGACAACCTGAAGGAAGAGGCCAAGGCAGAGCCAGGCCTATGGAAGACCCCTTTTCCATATGCACCATTCTGCCGTCTAGTGGAGATTCAGACGCGGATGGTTCTTCTCATCTACTTCATGGATTGTGCGCTCCGAGCTACTAACACAGAAGGCATAAGCTTTCAAGCTGAGAGCCTGGTGAGACCTTTAAAGCAGCCGCTCAAGGCGTTGCAGGACGAGTTCATTTCCACTCTAAGGATGGTCCTAGAGATACTTGACCCGTCGAGGGTGAATGCTCAGGCAGACGAGCCATCTGTGGGGGCAAGAGGATTCGGGGAAGGAGGGGAAGGAGGGGAAGGAGGTGGAGGAGAAAGGAAAGGGGAAGACATTAGATCGGGGCAGATTGAGGAAGAGGCAGGTGCGGACAGTGATCAGGAGTCATTAAGTGGAGGGGACGGAAAGGTAAAGGGGATAGAGGAGGAACATGAAGGGAAGGAGGAAGATGAAGAGCAGGAGTTGAAGAATGAGGAAGACGAGGGACAGATGAGATTGATTGGAGACAAGGGCAGGGGAAGAAATAGAAACAATAGCAAAATGGGGTATTTATTCCAGAGGTTGCATGGCAGTGCTCTGAGGTACAGGTTTATGAAAAGGGGTCAGCGGAAGATAACGCGCTTCATGAAGAGACTGTATGGGCTCTGGTTTGGTTCTCCGCTGTCTTTGATGAAACCTCTAGCTCCTCTGAAAAGCTTCAGCTACCAGGTTCTATCGGATTCCTCTGGGAAAAGGGATGCTGGGGACAGTCCAAGTCCTGCAAGTCTCAGCAGTTACATGACCCTTGGAACCAAGGCGAGAATGATAGAGATGGGACAGTGGAAAGCATCACACATGCCTAGCTCACCTATGTTTTCAGAAGCAGCGGGGGCAAGTGGAAGTAATCGTGCTCCCCAACATGGAGGAGGATTAGGAGGACGTGAGGGAGGCTCGGGGCAAGGAGGAGGAGGAGGAGGAGGAGGGGGAGCAGGGGGATCGGGAGATTGCTGTGTTGAGCAGGAAGACGCCTGCGATATAGGCCTAAGTCCCTTGGAAGCGTTCGACAGGCGTTACGAGGAAGTGATCATAAAGCTCATTGTGGCGAAAAAGGAGCACCCTTCCTTAGAAATCATAGACAACACAGCAGCTCTAACTTTCAACGCGTTGGTTTTCAGCATGCGTGCCTTGATTTCTGAGACCTACGAGCTTGAGACGACCATCCGAGAGATGTTGCAGATGGAACAACCGTTGGACCTGACAGAGATGTCACTCGCCTACTCCGCCTCCTGTCATGACTACATGAAGAAATCGGGCGCGTTCTCTTCTATAGAGGTGGTCTCGCCCCCACCAGTCCCGAGGAGCTCCTCTTTGTTGAGCTTTCTCCCTACCTCTCTTCTACCCATCTCTACAGTTATTGAACAGCCTGCAGCAGTTTCAGCTCCTGCAGCTCCTGTGGTGGCAGCAGCGCTGACTGCTCCCATGGGACCTCAGACTGCCGATGTCCTTCGTGAACCTGATTCAGCAAGAGGCCACCTGCATAAGACGGGAGTTCCAATGCCTCCAAAGGCGCTGACTGTTGAAATACCAGCTCCCATGATCCCATCCTCAGTGGCCATGGGTGATGATCATGACGATTCCAACAAGACAGACGGAGGTTCCACACCTCAAACAGTGCAAGGAGAATTGGCCGCTGGTGAGAGAGAGGAGATCATGTCAACTGCTGCCCAAGGTGCCTCGGAAGGAGGCGTCATTCCTCAGTCTCGCAGGAACTCCGTGCTGCAGGTTGCTGGCCTCGAAGACCTAAAGGATTTCCCAGTGATACGCCCACCTTCTAGGCAATCTAGTGTAACCTCATCGAGGCGATCCTCACGCCGTGGCTCTCGAATACAAACACCCAGAATGAGCCTGGCTACCTCCAGGAGAGTATCTGTTGCAACCAATCTCCACACTCCCACACGACAAAATCAGTCGCAATTTCACTCCTGATGCATGGTCACTAACTGTCTCTTCCTGCTCCCCCTCCTGCCAAGGAGTTGTAATTCCCACCGCAGTTGATGAAGCCTTGCTGGATTTGACGCTTTTGTCTCCATCAGTTTCGCACCCGTGGTCAGTAACTTCCTTGTGTTTTTTAAAAACAGTAGTGCCAGTAGCAGAAGTGCAGTATGCCTGGTTGCTCTTCTCGGTTATTGACGTAAGCCACCACTTCTTCTTCTTCTTCTTCTTCTTCGTCTTCTTCTTCTTCTTCTTCTTCTTCTTCTTCTTCTTCTTCTTCTTCTTCTCTTCTTCTTCTTTTTCTGCTCCTCCTCCTCCTCCTCCTCCTCCTCCTCCTCCTTCTTCTTCTTCTTCTTCTTCTTCTTCTTCTTCTTCTTCTTCTTCTTCTTCTTCTTCTTCGTCTTCGTCTTCGTGTTTGTCTTCGTCTTCGTATTCTTCTTCTTCGCATCCTCCTCCTCTTCCTCCTCCTCCTCTTCCTCCTCCTCCTCCTCCTCTTCCACCGTTTCTTCTTCTTCTTCTTCTTCTTCTTCTTCTTCTTCTTCTTCTTCTTCTTCTTCTTCTTCTTCGTCATCTTCTTCTTCTTCTTCTTCTTCTTCTTCTTTTCTTCTCCTCCTCCTCCTCTTCGGATCCTCCTCCTCTTCCTCCTCCTCCTCCTCCTCCTCCTCCTTTTCCACAGTTTCTTCTTCTTCTTCTTCTTTCTCTTCTTCTTCTTCTTTTTCTTCTTCTTCTTCTTCTTCTTCTTCTTCTTCTTCTTCTTCTTCTTCTTCTTCTTCTTCTTCTTCTTCGTCATCTTCTTCGTCATCTTCTTCTTCTTCTCCTCCTCCTCCTCCTCTTCGGATCCTCCTCCTCCTCTTCAGATCCTCCTCCTCCTCCTCTTCCACCGTTTCTTCTTCTTCTTCTTCATCTTCTTCTTCTTCTTCTTCTTCTTCTTCTTCTTTCTCTTCTTCTTCTTCTTCTTCTTCTTCTTCTTCTTCTCCTTCTTCTTCTTCTTCTTCTTCTTCTTCTTCTTCTTCTTCTTCTCCTCCTCCTCCTCCTCTTCCTCCTCCTCCTCCTCCTCTTCCACCGTTTCTTCTTTTTTTTTTTTCTTTCCTTCTTCTTCGTCTTCTTCTTCTTCTTCTTCTTTCTCTTCTTCTTCTTTCTCTTCTTCTTCTTCTTCTTCTTCTTCTTCTTCTTCTTCTTCTTCTTCTTCTTCTTCTTCTTCTTCKTCWTCTTCTTCTCTTCTTCTTCTTTTTCTGCTCCTCCTCCTCCTCCTCCTCCTTCTTCTTCGTCTTCTTCTTCTTCTACTACTTCTTCTTCTTCTTCTTCTTCGTCTTCGTCTTCATCTTCGTCTTCTTCGGATCCTCCTCCTCTTCCTCCTCCTCCTCCTCCTCCTCCTCTTCCACCGTTTCTTCTTCTTCTTCTTCTTCTTCTTCTTCTTCTTCTT